CCTGTGTAACATGAATTGTTCTTCTCTACAGCCATGCCAGCCCCAAATGAAACACGTGGACACAATATTAGTTATAAAACTGTTGGTCGTTGGCTTGGGTTTCTTATTGGCTAGCTCTGTCTTAATTATTAACCGATAACTACTAGTCTATGTATTTCCACATGGTCTTATCTTACCAGGGAAATGCCAGACCTGCAACTCCTTTACCTGCTACATTGCAACTGCTCAGCATCTCCACAGAGAAGATAGTGATTTCCTGTTTGTCCCCTGCTTATGTCCTAATTCTGCCCAGCTGTGTCCATCACTTCCTGTCTGGCTAATTAGCCAATCAGTGTTTTATTCATTAACCAATAAGAGAAACATATACAGAAGAACATTCCCTATCATCTCTTTTCTGTCTAAATAAAAAGAAAGGTTTTAACTTTAACATAAAATTATATATAAGAAAATGGTTATCAAGTAAGAACTATTGCATGGATGTGGATCATTTGGGTATATGCCTAAGAGGGGGATTGCCGGGTCCTGTGGTAAACTAATTCCCATTTTCCTGGGGAACTGTCATACTGATCTCCAAAATGGCTGTATGAGTTTGCACTCCCACCAGCAGTGGAGGAGTGTTCCACTTTTTCCACATCCTCTCCAGCATGAGTCCTCATTGGTGTTTCTAATTTTAGCCATTCTAGCAGGAGTAAGATGGTATCTCAAAGTTGTTTTGATTTGCATTTCCCTGATAGGTAAGGATGTGGAGCACTTTCTTAAGTGTCTTTCAGCCTTTTTGATTTCCTCTATTGAGAATTCTTTCTTCAGTTCTGTACCCCATTTTTTAATAGGGTTATTTGGTGTTTTGTTGACTAGTTTCTTGAGTACTTTGTATATTTTGGAGATCAGCCCTTTGTCGGATATAGGATTGGTGAAAATCTTTTCCCATTCTGTGGGCTGCCGTTTGGTCTTGTCCACTGTGTCCTTTGCCTTACAGAAGCTTCTAAGTTTGAAGAGGTCCCATTTATTAATTGTTGCTCTCAGTGTCTGTGCCCCTGGAGTTATGTTCAGGAAGCGGTCTCCTATACCAATTTATTCAAGGGTACCCCCTACTTTCTCTTCTAAGAGGTTAATTGTGGCTGGATTGATGTTGAGGTCTTTGATCCATTTGGACTTGAGTTTTGTGCATGGCGACAGACATGGGTCTATCTGCAGTCTTCTACACACCCTCATCCAATTGTGCCAGCACCATTTGTTGAAGATGCTGTCCTCGCCCCATTGTATAATTTTAACTGTTTTGTTGAAAATCAGGTGTTCATAGGTGTGTGGGTTAATATCAGGATTTTCAATTTGATTCCATTGGTCTACCTGTCTGTTTTTGTGCCAATACCAGGCTGTTTTAGAACTATAGCTCTGTAGTAGAGCTTAAAGTCAGGAATGGTGATGCCTCCTGAAGTTCTGTTATTGTACAGGGTTGTTTTGGATATCCTGGGTCTTTTGATTTTCCATATAAAGTTGATTATTATCCTTTCAAGGTCAATGAAGAATTGTGCTGGGATTTTAATGGGGATTGCATTGAATCTGTAGATTGCTTTTGGCAAGATTGCTGTTTTTACTATGTTTATCCTACCTATCCAAGAGCATGGGAGATCTTTCCATTTTCTGGTATCTTCTTTAATTTCTTTCTTTAGAGCCACAAAGTTCTTATTATATAGGTCTTTTATTTGTTTGGTAAGTGTTACACCAAGATACTTTATGTTGCTTGTGGATATTATAAAGGGTGATGTTTCTCTGATTTCTTTCTCTGTCTCTTTGTCGTCTGAAAAAAGTAGAGTTACTGATTTTTTTGTGTTTATCTTGTATCCTGCTAGTTTGCTAAAGATGTTTATCAGCTGTAGGAGTTCCCTGGTAGAGTTTATTGGGCTGCTTATGTAAACTATCATATCATCTGCAAATAGAGAGTTTGACTTCTCCCTTTCCAATTTGGATCCCCTTGATCTCCTTTGTCTTATAGCTTTAGCTAGAACTTCCAGTATGATATTGAAGAGATATGGAGAGAGAGGGCAGCCTTGTCTTGTCCCTGATTTTAGAGGAATCACCTTAAGCTTCTCTCCATTCAGTTTGATGTTGGCAGTTGGTTTGCTGTATATTGCTTTTATTATGTTTAGGTAAGTTCCTGTTATCACTGACGTCTCCAAGACCTTTATCATGAAAGGGTGTTGAATTTTGTCGAAGGCTTTTTCCGCATTTAGGGAGATAATCATATGGTTTTTCTTTTTCTGTTTGTTTATATGGTGGATCACGTTGATAGATTTTCATATGTTAAACCATCCCTGCAATCCAGGGATGAAGCCTACTTGGCCATGTTGGATGATTTCTCTGATGTACTCTTGAATTCGGTTTGCCAGTATTTTATTGAGTATTTTTGCATCGATGTTCATCATGGATATTGGTCTGTAGTTTTCTTTCTTAGTTGTGTCTTTGTGAGGCTTGGGTACCAAGGTTATTGTGGCCTCATAAAAAGCGTTTGGCAATGAACCTTTTGTTTCTATTTTGTGGAACAGTTTGAGAAGTAGTGGTATTAGTTCTTCCTTGAATGTCTGGTAGAATTCTGCACTGAATCCATCTGTCCCTGGGCTTTTTTTGGTTGGAGGGCTTTCGATGACTGCTTCTATTTCATTTAAAAAAAAAAGAAAAGAAAAAAAAAGAACTATAGTTACAATATTTAGTCTATTAACATTAGCAATATTTAAAGAAAATATTCTGTCATCTATCCTATTTTTGTGAATCTAAAGTCTTATATGTAACTTGCCTTTTATCATAACTAAGGAAAAACATAACCTTAGTTATCTATCTTCAACTCCATCAATGACCAGTCTAGAATTGACAGAGACATCTTCTACCTGGACAGTTACCTGAAGTTCTGTAAGATATTCTATCTTTGACCCATCATAGGTCCTAGTGTGTCTGGCAGACTTCTCAGCAAAGCAGGAAATTTGAAACTGTCCACCTGTATTGGCAGTTTATCAATCATTTTTCTCTGTGTCCTGCAGAATGTCTGGCAGACTCCTCCATGAAGCAGGAACCCCTCAGGACTGTCTTGTTTTGTAAATTCAGCAGTCACTTTCCTGTGGGTCCTGAATGCCTTGTCTATCAAACAGTACAGGCAAGAGCACTTTCTTGCCCCAATGGCTAATCTCACCTTATTGAATGCAAACTCCATAATGAGTTTATTTGATACCCATCTTCCTCTGTGATGTAATTGGTATTGCCAGGAGCAGTTGTGTCTCACTGTCATGAAAAAGCCTAAACTATTTTAAATGTCATATCCTGTGGGTCTTTGAAAGGTTTGAAGAATATCTATCCATCTCAAGCATATCTCTATATATTTAGAAAGCCTAACTAACATAGCTATAAGTTTTGACTATTATAGGTAAGTATATATAATCTGTACTTAATTATACATTTTAAAAGATCTGTATAAACACAATACTTAAACAAAAGGAGAAATTTACACATAACAAAATTGACCTTAAATTTGTATCAGTATATGAAAATCCATACCAATGCAAAATATTCATTTCTATATCATTTTCCCCTTTTTTCTTTAGAAGGAGACTTACTGTGGTCATTAACCATTAATAATCAAACCCCTTTAAAGGAAAATATGTGTTTATAAACAATATTTGGGAATGTGGGTATTGTTCTCTCCAAACTGCTTCCTACTGGTTGGGGCACTGTTAATATCATGGGAAACATGAGAAAACACAGAAACCTGGCCGAATCCTTGTTGTAGTTTACAAAGCTATATTGCTTCAAATGTTTTAGGTGCTGCATCACCTAGGAAACTGCTTCAGGGGATCTTGCTTCATCAAACTATCATAGTCTGGAAGGAATCCACAGCTTTTCATCTTCTGTGGAAACAAAAATAAAGCCTCTTTTCCAAAGTAACATGTCCTTAAATTTAAATTTTGAAGTCAAAGCATTTTTAAAATGTGTAATTCAGCAGCATTTATAACCAAGTGTATTTTAATGCTGGAGGTCTGTACAAACTGGCAGGAAGTGACGTAGCTAGGCAGTAATAGAATATAAGCAGAGAGAAAGAGCAAGCCACAGAACACCTTACCTTCTAAGTGTCTCTGCAGGGAAAAGATCGATTTCCTATTTGTCCCTGCTTATATTCTGTTACTTATGATGTAGCTGGGCAGAAACTGCCACTAGCTAACCATAGAGAGCTCTGGAAGTCTGGACAGACAGGCAGGAAGTAACATAGCTGGGCAGTAACAGAATATAAGCAGGGACAAACAGGAAATTGTTCTCTGTCCCCCAGGCAGGCTTTATTTGTGCAAGAAAGATATCACCACATGCCTGTGCAGGGATCCCAGGCACCTCTATTGCCATCACTCAATATTGACTCCATTCAAACCTGGCCAGTCTACATCCATTTCTACCATAGCCCTTGGTGTCACACAACACCCTCACCCCATCCCAACATTTGCCACAGTGTGAGTGTTTCAGAGTATCAACTTTGAAAACTCAGCTTAGGAATTATGTCTTTCTGGACGACTTCCCTATTGCTTTTTCTTGTCTTTTACTTCTCCACCCTACACATCGTGCTTGCCACCTCTTCTCCTGGTAGTTCTCCTTCTTGTCTCTCTGTTAGAACTTCATGGCCTCATGAGCATCTTCTGTTACAGTGCTCAGTACTTTGTGTGGCAGTCCTCATTCCTTCTGGTGGACCGATTAGACTCCTGCTTCTGGACAGCAGGGCTGGCCCAGTATACATCTCACTAACACATTTGAATGGAAAGAGGCTACAATGCTCAGCCTGCTGATTTCAGAAATGAGGAGTCAAGGACAGGAAAGGGAAAAGTAGATACCTTTTTTATTTGCTTGTGTCAAACTTGTGTGAATTGACTAGGTAATGTTGTAGACTCTGAGTATGTGAATAAAATCATGTTGGAAGCAAACTTTCCCTCAAGCATTAAAAAATAGCCTTGCTTTGTTTCCCTTTTGACCAGGTGCTGTGATCGTCTCCACGCCTCAGGACATTGCGCTGATGGATGCACACAAGGGTGCTGAGATGTTTCGAAAGGTCCACGTGCCCGTAAGCATTTATACCCTCACTGATAAAAGTATGAGACCCATCTAGTATTGCGATTAAATAAGGATCAGGATAAACAAATAGGCTGAATAGATGTTTATTCGGGGAGAAATAACTTACAACCTAGACAGATGAACACCAGGAAATTCCACCTGATGCTCTCCTATCCGAGTCCTGCCAGCAAGAGAGCTTTTCTTTTCCCGGCTCCTCCTCCAACCTTCCACAGGTCACTTCCGCTCATGGCTCCACCCCCAATGGGCGTGGTCAGTGCCACAGAAGGACTATCTCACTACAATCTAGCTTAAGAACCAAGTCATTAACAAATCAGCATCTGAGTTTTAGTTTAACCTTCTGCATGAGACTCCTGGTTGGTCATTCCAGTTACTGTAAAGTTACTCAAGTGTCCAAACATAAGGCTGGTAAAGAAGAATTCTGTAGCAGGATTGCAGGATTGCAAACTTTTTAAAGAGCTATGCTCTCCAAATGCTGCCAGACTCAAGTGAGCATCTTAGAAAATGCTTTCCTGATAGACTAGAGTAGACACCTTTGGGAAAGGAGGTGAAAACGTAACTCCTTTTCCTTTGTCTGATTACATTTTAACCCTTGATAGTTCATGTTCTTCTAGGGAGTATTTCTGGCTAGTCTGTACATGACAAAATAATGTAAGAATGTAATAAAAATAGACAAAGAATAATTAAGATCAGATGGAGCCCAAAGTAAAGTCAGCAAACACATTGCATGCTATTAAGGAACTTAAATATGCTATGGATTTTCTAGCAGCCAAAGGAAATAAAAAAGCATGCTACCAATTAAGAAAGACACTGTCCATTTGCACATAGTTAAAACAAGCTGCTTGCTTGAGCGAGGCAGTGCCGAGACCAGACACAGACTTTCACTCAATTATTGAGGGAGCAACTATATATTGAATACACTCCCTCTTCCTCACTATAAGGCAAAGGGTTTTCCTCCTAGGGTGCCTCAACAAAAGCCCTGGGAGAATACCAGAGGACAGTTAGAACATGACCTCCATGATGCGTCTGTCTGCATGGCTTTCCAAGTAGGTCTTTAGAGCTAATAGAAAAGGGGACCTTTAAAACTCTGGTCTCAAGTGACAAGGTGCTTGCTATGCAAGACTGATGACCCAAGTTTAATTCTCAGAACCCACATAAAGGTGGAAGGAGAGATTTGTCCCAGATTTGTCCTCCAACTACCAAGTGTGCACCATGTGGCGCAGGCCTGTGCTCACTTATACATACACCATAATAATAAATACCAATGGATAAAAGCTCAGGCCATGTATTACCTTCAGGGCTCTCATAACTCTCTACCCTGCCTTCTCTCTACCACAAACTGTATGATAATTTTGTTTGTTTGGTATGGGAAGAACTCAGAACTTTCCTCAATTTCTTCTATGAGCCCATGACCCAGAAAAAAAGTTCAGGGACACTTTCTTCAGAGTTTTTCTGTGAGAGGAGCCTTGAGAAATGTAAGACAGCAACACGGAAGAGTCAAGGTGACCTTCCCCACAGTGTGTCTCCTCCCAAGGCAGCTGGAATGGAGCTGGTACCTTGACTAGACAAACAGGCATGGGCCAGAGTGAAGGGGCCTAATAAAGAACATGCCTGCCATGCCTGTCTGCTTTCTTTCCAGAGTTGCTATTTTCACTGGCAAACTGAAACATGTGATTAGAGCCAGTGTTCCAGGCTCTGAAACTTAGCTTGAAGAAAATTTAAATCATGGCCACCGCATACAGAAAACTTTATCTATTGCATGTTTTGAACAGGGTGACTTTGCACTATCCTTCAGGATTAAGGAATATGTGTGGAGCCACTGAGGAATGTGAGATTAACATATAAGGTGGCAAAGAGACAGGCACCCTTCTACCAAAATTGATGACCTGTAATCCTTGCTGGCAATAATTAGATATCAGGGCCATTGGTCTGTAACTACCACTTCAAGGTCCAGGTCAAGCCGTCTTCCTGCCTGCATGTGAATTGTGAACTTTCATTGTGCTGGGGTGAAGATAGAGACATAGGCCTACTATACTCAACACCTGCAAATCCTTGAAGGGATTGGTCTTCAAAGAGCAGGAATCAGATTATCAGATTTTCTCTCTTATCTCCCCCAGAAATGAGCATTTTTATACAAGTAGATCATTTGAGATGGTAGTGGCTATGGGTCAGGCCCTTTATGGACTCTGTTTACTCAAAGTCTATTGACCACAGTGGCCACATTCAGTGTGTATACTTTTAGTTCAGGTGTTATTTTCCTCTGACACCTGTGACACTTCTTGACCTGTAATGAAAACAATCCCATATGTTGCGATGGATTTTTCTTCCCTGTTCTCCAAGACAAATAATGGGCCAGATAATTCCTTCAGAACATAACAGAAGAAGAGAGGCTACTCACTGAGCTCATACTGGGATTTGCTGGTTAGATGCCATGTAAGCATAAAAGTTGAAGAGAGTAACAGGGGAATATCAACAGAAGTGAGGGGTAGTGGGCTGCGTGGGCTTGGAGTGCTGCAGCCAGGGTTAATGAGAAGAGGAAGCAGCTGTTTGGGGTCACACTTGTGATGTTTAAGTTTTAGTGTTAGGGCAATTCTGGGTCATGACAGGGCCAGGATGTGGTCCTGGGTGTGTTGGGACTAAACAGGATAGAAATGAAAGTCTCAGGAGCTGTGTATTCTGCTTTCAAGATGGAATTAATCATTCCTCCCCCTGGCATTTTGGACATCTGCCTGCTGTATCTGCCCTAGCCCTCTTTTTATGCCCTGATTTTAATCATTTGCTCTCTTTGCTGCAAAAACAATTTAAAAATAGATAGGATATCTTAATCATCTCTTAAACCCAGAAACCAGCATGAGTGTGAGGTAAGGCTCACAGTGAATGAGAACTTTCCAAGGCTGAGCCCTGTGTGCAGCCTTACAAGCATAGTGCTGCTCCCTGGAAAAGTGGGTCTCAGTTATCAGTGAGAAGTGATTGTGATGACTTCTGAGAGCCTTCTGGCTCTTAAAAGCCCCAGAGTCTAAGAAATGGCAAAGCGTTCGGAATTAAAACATGTTCCATAAATGCAAGGGCGATGCTGTGCTGTTTATTCCACTTTATTCCTTTCCCTGGTTTTCAGTCTTGTTCTGTTTCTCCCCTTTTGAAGTACATTAGTTGCCATGGAAACAGTGATGTCATTGGAATTCATTGGTATGGACAGAGTTTAGTGATGTCTGCAAGAACGTTTTGAAGTTAATTTAAATGATATCTTAACTCAATGCATAGCTTGAGAAAGGAGGAAAAGATGAAAGATTAAATTCTGCCCTCTGCCTGAAATGATAAAAAACTGACAAATCCTTGATTATAGAAGGATTTGTAGGTAGACTTTTTCAAAAACATAAGAATGTTTGTCCTTACCCATTTTTAATAGTGAGTAATTTATGTTTAATACTATTGTGACCCACTTCTGTTACCTCCTTTTCCAAGAGCACCTCACGTTCCTTGCTACTGTCTCACCATCTGAGTGTCTGACTGACCTCACAGGGATTTTCTTTGGGAACTAATTCAGCTCCTGAAAAGTACCCCAATGTATGTTTATTCTCCTATTTCTTAGTTACATGGGGGTTCACTTCAATTCAAAAAACAGTTGTTAACTGATGTATTTGCTGATATTTAGTGTCCTTTATGATGAAGCATTGTGTTCCAGTTTGCTTTCTGTGATAAACACCATGACCAAGAGAAACTTGGGAGGAAATGGTTTATTTCATCTTAAGGGGTCCTGTCCATCACTGAGGGAAACCAAGGCAGGAATTCAAGACAGAAACCATGGAGGGACAATGCTCACTGGCTTGCTTTTCCTGGCTTGCTCAGCTACCTTTCTCATAAAGCCCGGGCCCACCTGCCCAAGTCTACAGGGGGAGGGATGCTCCTGTATCAATTAGTAATTACTCCAAGGTGACTGTCTCTAGCTTATGTCAAGTTAACAAACGCTAACCAGCATTGACTGTAAGCTTCGATGATGGCCTCAGAAAGAAAAGCAGTACCATTCTCTGAGGTCTTTTGACCTGTTGATTAACTCTGTGGTATTGAAGGGGCCCTAAGTTCTGAGAATAAGAAACTTCTCAGGGTCCTTGGGGCTGGTGTTGGAAAAACCTTCTTTTATTTGCTTCTTTTCATAGTTCTGTAATTTTGGACACGGTGATCTGTTACCTGATGAAGTCATTTCCAGCCTAGGGAACCCATGTTCACTTCAAATTTCAGCTCAGCAGTTACTTGCCCTAGGTTTTTTTTTTTTTTTTTTCTTTTTTTTTTTTCCCCTTCCCAATATGCCATGTAAAGTTTATGATACTCCCTGTCAACTCCTCATACACATGTCCAGGTCACCTCTCACCTCATTACAGGTTTATCTGTTTATCTTCATAGGACAGTTCAAGTTCCTGGGTAGCAAGGGAACCTGTCTTAACCATCTTGTCAAGTTCAGCCACCTGGCACACAGGCATACTGTCACTGTGACCCAGTAGATGTCACCTACTGCCCACTGTTCATGCTCCCCTGAGCATGGGTTGCTCTGCCATTTTGCATGTCACAGCCAACCTTGGTGTGTCACAGTCACGTTGGCCTTCCACTTTTGCAGCATTCCTGTATCCAGTGTGTCCTCAGAATCTTCAGTTTGCTGCTTTTCACCTGAGCACATTTTACCCTCAAGTTAGGTACCCAGACTGAACAATGGACTTTTCTCTTGGGACTTGAGTAGTGCTGTTACCAACAAGAGTTCATTCTATCTACGGCTTCATTGTGCTCTTTCAAAAGACCCTTTCACATTTCAGCTCCACACCAGAAGTTCTGTCGATGGAGAGACCTAAACATTCATCTGTTCACTAAATATACACTAGACAAATGATCTGGGTAGGATCTTTCTTATTGGGTCTAGGGATATAAGTCTGAAAACTCAGGCAAGTACAGTAGTGTTGAGGATTTCTCAGTTTGCCTGTAACTGAGATCTGGACTTTAAAATGT